ACCGAAAACCCCCCGAGAAAAGACAATAAAATTTCCAGCTCTTCCTCCCACATTTTACATACAAGCCACCCACAAAGCCACCCACAAAGCCACCCACAAAGCCACCCACAAAGCCACCCACAACTGGCGTCTGTGGTATAGCGGTTATGCACTTCGTTATTGCACACAGGCGATCTGAGTTCGATTCCCCACTGGAGAGAACATTGTTATTGGGTATCGCGGTTCTTCTGCTGGAATTGCTGGGAAGCGTCTCTCCCAGCGCGGGTTGGCCCCGACAGGCAGTGTCAGATGCCTGCCTCCTAAGTGATTTAAATTGGGTCGATAAGGGCGTAACAACACCTACATTGAGACACTTACAGTAAGCGTGTCGATTAGCAGTTTGACTGGTAAACGTCCCATTCGGTTGTTGGAGAAATCAAGCCGGGTTAAGAACTGGTTTTCCGTGTACATCTCGCAAATGTGGGTCATGCTTTTGAGATCTGCAGGCCAAATAGTGTGAGGAATAGAAAGATAGTAGATAGAAAAGGATGAAAAAAAATGTTAATTGATCCTTACAAATGTATGTTTTACAATAACGTATATACCAGCATAAGCAGGGTACATGCAATTTTAAAGAATATCTTACAGGGAGTCTTTAAAACATTAAAAAATGAGAACCCACTTTATGAGCTATAGCTCTTTCATCTTTGCACTGATTTCAACATAACCCCGAACAAATGAAACTTAACCTGGGGGACTTCAAGTTTGTACATTTGAAGAAAACCGCTAAAAGCGTTTGAGAAATATCGAGTTTTTAAAATTTGAACGAAAATTGGGTAAAACACAAAACTTCTTAAAAACATTCCCCAAAGGGGCCATGGTCGACCGGTTCTGGTTTCAGGACTAGAACGATAAAATCAAGGCAGTCACTTCCAAAAAATTAGGAAAAGTTTGAGGAAGAGAAGGTGTTTTACTGTTGAGGAGACCTGGTGCCATCCAGTGGGATGGAGTCACACCCTACACACCAAAAGTAGCCCCTGCACAGTTACAAAAAAAGAAAGGTTTGGGGAACGTCGTGTAGTCCGAGAGCTCAGTTAGTTTAGTAAGGGTTTACGGTGCTCGCAATTGCATAAGCTCAATATGAAAAAGGTAAAAACTTGAGACAGAATAACAATTTCAAAATGAAAATCTGATTAAAATCAAAATAACTGTTTTTACAGTTTACAGTAAAGGCCAATTCTGTTAAAATGTGCCTAATGGTAAAATCTGTGTCGCATCCAACACAGAACGGTTTTTCGTCTCCCTGAAGGAGGTACTTATGTGTTCCGTGTGTGTGTCCGATGTATAATTGAGTAAAAATGACTTCGTCTCTTCTGGAGAGGCCAGAAGCCGACAGCAAATGAATGGCGCCGTATTTCCCTGACTTGACCCCCCTTCAGGCATTGCCTTTGGGGTTCTTTGATAGACATAGTCTACGGAAACAAACCCACAAACAATCAAACAGTTGAAACGCAATGTTGATCAGGAGGTCAAAAGAATCGTTCAGCAACATGTCACACGGTTATTCAAAATTTCCAGTGGTACGTTGGAGCTTGTACGGAGAGAAATGGTCAACACTTGGAGCATACAATTTAAATAACAACCACCTTTCCTGAATATACTTGGAATTATAATTTTGTTAAAATTTGTTCTTCAATGCACAGATAGAAAAATCTAGTGGCTATTTGAAAAAAAGGTCAACACTGTTGATTTTTAACAAGTCACAACGTTTTGCATTTCACCCAATTTTGGTTGATTTTTTAAAAAATTAATAATTTTCGAACACGTGAATTGATTTTCTTTATATATAAAAAATGTGATATTCCCCAGGTTAAATTTTTAGCGTTCAAATTTGGTTAAAATTGGTAAAATAATGAACATATAGGTCCTCTTTTTTTAGACATCCGTATATATGTAATAAACTGCTTTTGTATAGTGCATACCCCGCTCGACAGACAGCTTTATGCACTTAACACTGTTAGTATTACTCCAAAAGACCCCAGAACACATAGAAACATTTCGGCTTCACGGGAAACATGCAGTGTCAAAAGCACAGCTGATTAAGCGCTCAACTACTAGAGTCTAAGTAACTAACAAAATATTTCGCTGTTTATCAATTCCCACCTAGTGAAGTGAGGAAAACTCGAGTAAAGTGCCTTTTCCAAGGACACAAAATCGGTGCCCTAACGAGATTCGAATTCCTGATCTTACAGTTGGGAGTTCGAGAGCCTAACTACTAGGCCACCGACGTAAACGTAATCTTGCAAAACCGAAATACTCGATAAAAATTCACCCTCACGGGGAATCGAACTCGAGTCTCCTGCGTGGGATGGCGAAGCGGTTATCCTCTACACCGCAGACGCCAGTGAAATTGCACCGACGCTTTTATCTTTACAATACTGCGACATATATACCCACCCGTGATATGAAACGGTTTAGACAGCCCTCTCAAAGCAGTACAGTTACAAGGGACGTGATCTTCAATGTAACACACATTGTTATCTTTAATACACCCTAGCAAAACTGGTGGAAAGTCATGACTGCACAAGCAACTAATTTGTCCTTAAATGTTTCTTGTTTCACTGACGAACGTTCTGTACCTAATGATAAGGGATAAACATGATAACACTGTCATAATCATCGCCATAATCCTCCTCCACCTCCTCCTCCTCCTCATCATCATCATCATGATTGTCTTCTTCATTTTCCCTTCCTCCTTCTCCCCCTCCTTCCCCTACCCCTATTAGGGGAGAGCCTTGGGAACTAAAAGTCTAATTCAAGAAAACTCTCTTGACAATTCGAAATCAAAACCATCTGCCCCAAAGCCAGTGTATACCGACTAAGCTAAAAAAAAGATAAATTAGTGGGTGGTTGGCCAGTGGTTTGGTTTGCTCCTTCTTCCCTATTACACTTCTATCCTCCTTACCCCTAATCCTTTTTTGTGTTTGTTGCTCTCTAGTAATACCTCTAATCTTGGGCATTTATATTACTTAAATTGTGTTGCAAGTGCCGTAAAACTGGTTTTAAAAAAAGACACACAAAAAAAGAAACAAATCGACAAATAGACGAACACATGGACACCTGTAACAACTCACCAATGTCGTCCTCACTGATTTCCAACTCCGTGACCATGCAATTATTGCACAGAGCACCACAGAGCGCCATGATTCCACGGGCTCCCAGCTGCTGGCTGTTCAGAATCATTGCTGTCGTGGTGAGGCTCCGAACTTCAGGAGGGAGATAAATTTGTGGGCAAAGATACATGAGACTGTGGTATCTATCTATCTATCGATCAGCTCATGTCTAACTGCTGTCATTTAAACTTTACTCCAAAGCTTCAAACTTTGTCAACTACAACCGTTTCGTAGGCAGCAAGGCCATTTGCTCTACCCTACTTTTTTCTACATCTTTAGGGAGCGCCTCTTGGTGGACGATGCTTTAGCAGGTCACCAGTTCACCGTCAGTACATACAGTCATACAGTATTATTATATACATGTATAAATGGAAGACCAATCAGCAGTCTAAGATTCGCAGACGGCATAGATGGAATGACTTGGGAAGAAAATGAACCAGTTGATTCGATTTCAAGACTCGACAAAACTTCACGCTCACATGGTGATATATCTTCCAAATGTTAAAACTTTTATCTTTTCGTCTTTCTTGTAATATTCTAAAAAGTGCATGTCATTAGTGCTGAGAAAGCAAAGATATGGCCAGCAAGAACTCAAAATAATTTAGCCAAACAATACATCTAAAAGATACCATCATTGAAACCGTTGTAAAATGTAAATGCGAGGATGCAATCATCACAAACGAAGGTTCAAGAACAGAAGTCATCCACAGAGTAGGGCAAACACACACTTCCTCTACTTAAAAATAAGGCATGAAAATCTCCATTAAGCAATACATCCCAAATCAGAAATAAAACAGACCATGAATAGTCCATAACGCGAGACAGAAAGACAGTCAGCGTAAACGTCACTCTTAAAAAACGCCCAGCAACAGCAACAAAACGAAAAAACCAAATACTTGGACGTAGCATGGATGAAACAATCGTACGAAAGGAAACGCCCAATAAGTAAAATGTAAAAATAAAGCAATCAAACTTCTGGAGAAGCTATTAAACCTATGAAAGCGTTGGGGATAATCTTTTCCGCCTTGCAACATATCTTGTACTCCTCCTGTGTATTGTCGAGTTCCTCCTGGTTTGGTTTCGTGAGGTGTTCAAAGTTAAAGTTTGCAAGATCGTAAGTCTCGCTTTTCTCAAAGCTATCATCGTCGTAGTCAAAAGACGTCTCTGACGATTGGTTTTCTCCTTCAGCTTCCTCTCCGTCCTCATCGTCTACCACAGAACACACGCCATCCTCTGTATTCACCTCTTCTTTTGTCTCGCCGTCTGTAGTAATTTCTTTTGGGGTACTTTTAATTTTCAAATTCTCTTTGGGTTCGATGTTCGAATCGTCTGCCGTTGAATCCAGCGGTTCTGCAGGTTTCGTTTCAGCTTTTGAATCAGTTTTCAGTTCAGTCTGTGATTCTTCTCTCGGGTTGTTTTTGTTGGAGTCTGTAACTGATTTTGTGTTTGGATCGATATCCAGCTTTTCCCTACAGACTGTGAAGGAAAATGATAATAGATATCACTTCTGTTGCACTCTGGGTGGTTCACAATAAATTATGATCCCACGCTCATGAGATAAATACAGAAGTCATTTTGGCCATTTTGAGAAAATGGGTGGGGGGGGGGGGGGGAGGGGGGGGGACTGTTTCTTTCAAACAATTGACTCTGGGAGTCGATTGAATTTTGGTACACTCAATTGATTTTTTGTTTCGATTATTCTTTTGTCCAAATGAACTATATTACCAAGCTGGCCATGCTCTTCATTTCAGAACCAAAAACTTCAAACCGGCCAAAAATGACCAAGGCAATTATCTCATGAGCGTAACGAGATTAACATCAACGTTTCATACCTACTGGCCCATTTAACGTCGTGTTACAATAGTGCTTATCATTCGGTTACACTTCAGTCAATAAGACTTTGCTTGAAATGAAGCTTCACCTTGCAATTAATAATAACGTTTGAGAAAGAAAATACATTGTATAACAAAATAAATAACTCCTACAACGAACCTGTACTTTTGAGTCTGGCTAATCAAAGACAAACTTCCAGATGTCTTTAACTTTAAACGGTAGAAAAAAACCACACACACACACACACACACACACACACACACACACACACACACACACACACACACACACACACACACACTCAAACTCTCTCTACCCCCCTCCCCCTGCTCTCTCTCTCCCTCTCTCTCTCTCTCTCTCTCTCTCCCTCTCTCTCTCTCTCTCTCTCTCTCTCTCTCTCTCTCTCTCTCTCTCTCTCTCTCTCTTTCTTTCTTTCTCTGAGCAGACCCAGAGGAAGTTATTTGGAAAACCTGAACAGATGGGTGATGGGGAAACATTACGAAAATATGGAATTTTTTTAGGGCATCCGAACGGAAAACTATGGTCGCCGTTGTCTGTTTCAGATTTGGCACTTTATGAAGTTACATGGACTTTGGAAGCGGTGATGGCGAGAAGGGGGGAGATGGGGGGGATATAAAAATGCAAAATGAACACGCACTATTGTGTTATCTTACTTTCCTCCGAACTGCATATAGATCTAGGATCGATATTCATTGTATGGAGAGAATTGTTCTGTGTTCTCTCTGTTGTGCAGTTGTTGTTGTCAGCTTCATGAGTGGACAGTTCATCCCTAAGGTTGCCTTGGCTACCGCCACGCCCATCAGGAGGGTCAGTTTCCGCTTTGACTTTATAAATTGTTCTTTTCATTTCTTTCTGATCCCCTCTGCCTTCAGAACGCTTTTGGAACATGGGTTTACTGGAATTACTCGGTACAGATACCTTTACTGAATTCGTTGCTGCATTGATGATATTTTTTACCTTCCTAAATGAAGGATTCTTTTTAACCAGTTTGTTTTTAGCCTGATGCGACTTGTTTTTGTGAACATGAAAAGATTTTACCGCACTTTCTTTTTCACCACTGCCTGCTTGCCAGAAAAAGCCTTTGTTCTTAGAACTGAAATCTTTCACCCTGTTCGAAGGGCGCACTAAAAACAATTTTTCCTCTTGTGACGACTTCAACGAGGAGGGACACTGCTGGGTTTTGATGTCCGCTGACGTCTTAAACTGGGAGTGACTTTTCCTTTCTGAAACAGGAGCGAAACACCGTTGACAAGATAGCCCAATATCAATTGGTAAGGATCACAATCGACAATTGGATAGTATGGTGAACATCTCTTTAATCTTACTGAAACTATTTGTCCGTTTATCTGTCATTCTGTCTGCCTGTTTCTGTCTGCAAGTGTATCTGTGTCTCCTCTCTCTCTTTAGCATTTCTTGCTATACGTAAAAGTGAGAAGAGAAAGGCTTTAACGGCACTTGAAACACAAATATGATCATATTATTTTGTTTGTGCATGTTTGTATTCGTTTTATTTAGTGCAATAATGGATGATAGAGTGAATGTTACGTGTGTGTGTGTGTGTGTGTGTGTGTGTGTGTGTGTGTATTTGTGTGTGTGTGCGCGCGCGCGCGCGCGTGTGTGTGCGCGTGCGTGTGTTTATGGGTGTTTGAGCAGCACATCGACCCCATACTGGTCTAAGCGCAGAATGAAGCTAGGTAATCTGAATCTGATATAACAGAAGGAAAGAAAAAAAGTAGGACGTATCGGTGATGCCATTGTACCACAAGTGGGTCTGATTTTTCCCCCTTTTTTTCTTTCTTTCTTTTTTTGTTTTGTTTTTGGTAAGTGTCTTACGGCGCTCGCAACTGCATACGGTCATATGAGCGAGTGGGACACATTAAACATTTTCAGTTGGTAGGAAGGGCGACCTCCGAAGCCTACTCTTGTCAATTTTAGGACCACCAAAGGATCTTCAACATGTGCCACTTGCACACGGGACCTCCGAGATTTTTCGCTCTTGTCCGAGAAGACTAGGCGTAGATCTTTCCTACCAGAAGATCAAGGGTGTGGCTGAAAGACAGCAGTAAGAAGGGGGCAAGGAGAAGCAGTAGAAAGCCTGCAGAAAGAGTCAGGAGCCCAGAGGAGGGGGCAAAGGGGGTGAAGGGGTGGGGTAGAAACTGGAGACGGAAGCAGACGACAGAACATTGCTAGAGAGCTGGAAAGGAGGTGACAGAGAGACAATTTTAGAGAAGAAAATCCGGAACCTTTGAATGAGAGTCGAACACCTTAACCTTAAGGCCACGGGAGCCCCCCGGTGTGTGTGTGTGTGTGTGTGTGTGTGTGTGTGTGTGTGTGTGTGTGTGTGTGTGTGTGTGTGTGTGTGTGTGTGTGTGTGTGTTTGTGTGCGCAATATGCAATTTCTTTTATTTGGGAGGGGAAAAGGAGAGGTTGGGGGGTGGGGTTGAGTGCTGTTGCAAACTATCACACAAGTACAGACGATGAAGCACTAAACAGGACACCCTTTCAACTTACTGTTAGAAGCTGTTGCAGTCTGGCCACTGTATACACGATTTGATTTTGATGTTGACATGTTGAGCTGAAAAACAGACCCAAAGAAGGAAACGTATGTCGCAGAAATGCCCGATAAATAATCCTGAATTTTTAGGACTAGAAATATTACCACAAATTTATACATTTTATTGCCGGCGTATCGCCCGATCGGCCGATCCCATCTGTAGTGGGCACTTCTATAACGGTCAGGCGATTCGCTGTCGTATGCAGGAAACCTAGTTCGATTCCTGAGCGCGGAGAACATTTTTATCGAGTCTCACGGTCTTTATACTTTATGGTGGGGGATGTTGTATCCCTCTCAGCCTGGGTTTTTCCTGACAGGCAGCATCGGAAGCCAGCCTCCTCAATGATCTAAATTATGTTGATGGGGACGTAAAAGCACCTAGAATATACATTAAAAATTTTTAAAATACATTTTCTAAATTAAGACTAAATACACCATTTTCGCCTTTTCATCAATTAGATATTATCTTTGAAGTATCAGAGAGACAAAATGATATAGTTAGTTTGAGATTGTTTGAAAGGCAGGATAATATATTTTCTTCTATTGTGCATTGCGAAATTCATGAGAAGCAATTAAGCCAAAGCAGCTATTTATTTTTGCTGTCAGGGGAAATGGAAAAAATTTATACTGCACCATACCGGCTTCAGATTACAGCTAGCAGCGTGATGTTGATGGAACCGGAGGCGAAATGTTTTTGAGCAATTGGCCTTTGTCGAATCCGCTTTCATTTGTGCAAAGATTAGGCTATCCCCATTGTCACAGACAGTGGTGTGCAAACTGATGCGCAAAAAAAAAAAGAAAAGAAAAGAAGATTGAAGAAGGTTTCTCTGTCTGTTTTATTTTTTAAACGGTCTCTCTCAGCCCCTGCCGTTGGACTATTTTTGTATGAGAAAGTGTCGGATGAAGTGTGAATACAATAAGATTTTATTAATGAGTCGTATGTTTTGGCGAGTATGACTCAAATAAATGAAACCAATAGCATCGAGGGTGTTTCACTTTACACACGCAGGACAGAATTAGTTCTCCCAATGTGTTATGCCATAGAGTTATCAGAGACTTGACTAGAAACATAACATAATTATCATCACCCCCCCCCCCAAGACTTATTATGGTTTTACTCTCAACGAGTCAAAGGAGTTGCGCATTAAATATAGACGGATAATCCCCCTACTTTCATTGCAAAGAGTGCTTTCACTGCTTGAGAAAAACGAAACACCGGAACTTCCTCTGCGTGGTATTGTGGTGTTTTGAAACTTTAACCCTCACGTAATTTACACGCACGTTAGGTTGATGCGCTTTCATAATAAAATGTCTAACGTAATCACGCTTGGGGGAATTATTACAATTGCAATAACACTGGAATGTCCTAGACATCCCGAGTCCTAAAGCGCTTTTCTAATGCCACAACCCATGGGTACAAAATCAAGAGAGATGCTCCGTTTGTTTTAGGTTCATCCAAAAGGTAAAAAAAAAAAGTATGGAAAGCTCGAAAGTGAAGAGGCTGAGTAGAAACCCACGTACACACTGGAATCGGATGTTGTCACTGAATATTGAAAGCATGTTTGAAAACGCAAAACATATTCACGAGACCGGCATCGCCCTTGACAAGACAGCAACGAAGAGGATTGAAAATGAGAAGCAAGTTTCGGGGTTCTCTAAAGAAGCAGCAGGTGCTTCTTTTAGCGAACTCACGAACACTGCAGAGAAAAATTTGGATATTTCAGAAAAAGGTCCCAAAATTGAATGCATTTCAAAAGAATTACAAAATCCACATTGCAAAGGTAGATCTTTAATAAGAAATCATAATAAACGGTCCCTCAGCGAAGAAAGAATTAAGATGTCTTTGAGTATGTCTGAGCACAAATCCAGATCTCCACGACGGTCTAAAAGCGATAACGAATTCCAGACAAAGGGCCAAAAAACTAATTTCAGAAGACGCAGGCGAAGGAAGAGACGAGAGAAACTCAAATGGATAAATTCGGCACAGCATTGCTTTCAACCCTACCCCATTCCTGCTGCTACTAAGGGAATACATTGTTTAGAAATTTGTGACCCCCCTCAACTAATGCAGACTTCATCTCCTATAGACACGAATTTCAAACAATCGAGTAAGGTAATTGAAAACAATGCAAGCATTCCCGAAGATAACACCTGTTTCCTTGGACAGGGAGACACAAAATCAAATAAATCGGATAAAAAGAATGAGCTTCATGGTCGTCATGGTTTGGAAAAGAAGACCTTGTCTAAAAACCCCTCTGTTTTATGGAAACGGCTAGTTGAAGAAAACATTGCTGGTTTGGGCATATTGAAGAGAAGTAATTTCTCCAGAGCTGTAACACCAACGAGAAACACATCTTATTCTTATCACGAATCTCGCCCCTGTGGTTCTACACACGCCAGGGAATCCGCTTCGGCGCAGATAATGTCTTATCAAAAAATGAATCTCTCGGATGAGCCATGGGGGATACAAACTCTCTTAGACAATATGGAAGCTTGCAAACCTGACTATTGCATTACAGCTAATCTGCCAACGTCTGACCATATCCAGTGCTACAGTGAAGTAGGTAGCACCCATGTGAATAGCGTACTGGCCCATAACCCTGGGATAGGGTCTCTGCAATGGGAGGCAGAGGAGACGGCCCCCAAGGTACAAACAGATATGCCTTTACTCACCCAGAAAAGGTCATCAGTTGAATATGCTACTGCCTCCAAGGCTTTGTCCCCAGTACCAGAAATTCCTCAAGAGGATCTCGATACTGGGAAAACAATGTCTGCACTATCTTCCTCTGGTGAAAACTGTACAGAGATGACGGGAGGGTGCCTTCAATGTACGCCTGGGGGGCTTTACAGTTCATCAAATGTTGAAACTTTGATACGCAGTTACAGGGAAGAAAGACAAGCAGATGGGATTAATAGTGGGGTCGCCGTCTTTTGGGGAGAAGATGGGCAAAATCCTAAAGTTGACAAGGATACCTTTGAGGAACAACACTTTAAAGATACTGTTGAGAGTAGCTCTGCCACTCTTGGCGGAAGTTTAGAACTTTCCAGTCCGGCCACTGTCAACCCTGGTGAAAAGACAGGAAAAGGTGTGCTGACAAGTGTAAATGAAACTGTAGAGCAAGGAGACAGGAGCGCTCAGTCAGCAGGTTCGATGGTTTTTCGGACTTCAAGCGTTAACTTTTCCAATTGCAAGTTATCTCCGAGGGCAGACAGTGCTGGTCCTTTGTGTTGCGGGGACGCATCTGTTATGCCACATGGTATAGGGTGCAGCATCGAAAAAGTTGGATGTATTACCAGAACCAATTTTGAAAATAATAACTCTGACAATAAAACAGGAGACACCTTTCAGGATATATATTTTGTCGAAGAAACACGGTATACACGTAAATCTTCTCTTCTTTGTAACACTCTCCACCGTGAAAATGATGCTACAGAAGTCGATGGTGAGCTTTTGAAAGATAGAGTTTGTTCTGAAAGTCTTTCCCCCCAGGCTGGACACCAAAGTTCACCTTGGCAAAAACTGCATAATCGCAAGGATAGTAATGGCGATACAGTCTGGAGCAAGATATTGGATGCGAATATTTTGGACGCAGCCGAAGGTAAAGCATTCTCTCTAAAGACAGGCGAAGTGTATTCATCTGTTGCAAGCGTCCCAAGCGCATTGAAAGCACAACATTCTATAACAGGCGTCACACAGCTGAATGTATCTAATGTATCCGTCATGTCGGGAAAGGAACAGTGTTCAAAAGAGTTTGGTGAAATAAATTGCAGCAATATCCCTGTCATGCTGGTAACACAAGAGTCTACTACCATCAAAGTTAAACGTAATACTGGTAAAAGTACAAACATTTCAAAAGACCAAACAAGACAAAGGCCGAGCAGTTTAGATAAACCAGGAAAATGTTTATCTTCTGTCGTCAAAACTGTTTTTGACCGACACCAAGAGCCAGAAATGCCACCTGGGCCCCAAGAACAATGTTTGGACAGTATGCCGACATTTGGTTCTAGTTCACGGATAAACGAAGACAAAATAACCCAGAAAAGTGAATTCCATGTTAAGACAGAGCATTCTAAGTCTGAGAACTTTAGTCAACCCTCAAACGTCCTTCAGAGGTCGAAATCTCGATGGCAAAAATGTGCAGCTATTAAATCTCTGCTTATTTCTGGAAAAGGAGTAAAGCACACTGAGCCAGAGAGTCGATTTTTCTTTGACATTGAAAGAGGAACCGTTATAGAGTTAGACGATCCACTCTTGAGCCAAGATCCGAGTCCTACGGACATGGAATTTGATGCAGAGCGCTGTTTACAGACTGACATCTATGGGCCAGCTATCCATAAGAAACAATGTGTTCTAAATAGGAGACAAAAACGCAATGATTCTAGCAGTCAGAAACTTAACAATGACGAAATGGCTTCAAGACACACTGATGCCCACATGATAACGACTCCGAGATTTAAAGAAAACAATGTAAAGTACAAAGGACAAAAGTGCACAGAATTATCTGCTCAGTGTGGTCAGAAATATTCTCCGATTGTCATAAACAGCGATGAAGCAGATAATAACGGAGTTCTTCAAGTCTGTGAGTGTATTGATGATGCTAATACTGAAAATGGATCTTGCACACAAAATAACGGAGAAAACGACCTGGCAAACGTGCAACTGCCAGATATGCACGTAAAAGAAAAGAGTGCAAGCAGCGTTTCAGTTTGTCAAGAAGGAGAATTTGAAAGGAATATCCTTCAACGGATGATAGCTTCCAACCTTCCAACCTCCGACAACCTGGTTCGTGTCCCAATTCCTGAGACAGTGTCAGGCACGCAGATCTCTGACGTCACTTACCACGATACTCCTAGCGTGCTCAGGGAGAGAACAAAACTGGACACATGCACAGCCCAACAGGAAGCCAATCTAAGTTTGTTTTTCAGCTCCTGTTTTGGGTCAGAGGAGGAAGAAGGGAGTGGATCGGCCGAAGGCTCTTCCTTCCCAGCCACATGCAATACAAAAAAGGTATTCTGTCACACAAAGAGGATCTCCAGCCCTGTTGGCTCGAAACAAAAAGCAGCCTCCTGTCTGTCTAGCGGGGCAACATCTCCAGCGCTAAACATTCAGCTGACTGACGGCCGGGCTAAAGGGGGACACGGGAAGCTCAGAACAATAGCTCAGAGGGAACGAAGCTGTCGTCAATGTAACCAAAAGACGGAATGGGAAACAGAGACGCCCACGGCTTCCGTTGATTTATCTCAGTCGTCACTTGAGTGTCTGCTTGAAATGCTCTTACAAAGAGGTTGGTATGTGTAGGCCTTAATAAAGAAGAATATAGCAGCAGGCACTGTTCTAAAAATGGTGAAATAGTAAAGGCTTAACACCCCTATCAACACTACTAGGTCATTTAAGAGGCGTGAACTCCGAGTTTAACGTCCTTCTCTGAAAGGAACGAGCCAAATGGGAAATTCGTGTAAAGTGCCTTTCCCAAGGACACAATGTTGGACTGAGCTGAGGCTCAAACCCCCGAACCCGCATTCTCACAAATACCGGTCCGGTAGCTTAACCGCTAGGCCACCAACGCCACTAGGCGCTGTTCTGTTACAGTGTATATATTGTTATGTTGTATCAGTTTATATTGTGTGTCCAGTGAGAATAATGCTTGTTGCTGATCAGACTAACAAAATCGTCAATTTCTGCGTATGAAGAAGGCTTTTCAGAATGATGCGCGGATTCTGGGTCACCCTGTGCAACAAAAAAGCTGTTTGCAGTGAATCCATGAGAATAACCGATAACCAGCATTCTTTTAACATTTAAGGTTTTTGAGTCTCACCACTTGTTGTTTATGACTTTGCCTCCATGTCCATCAATGTTGCCTTAACCCTTATACATTCATTGCCATCTTCTGCCGCTCTGCCCCAGGATCAAACTGTGATCAACGTTTGCTACGTTTTACGCCTGCACTCACGCCCCATCTGTCATACTGGGAATTCGTTATACCTTCTATGGAGACTGTGGCCTCTTTTCCTTCTTCCGTACTTTTTATTTCTCAATACAGGGAACAATCTGGCTTGTTCTATCTCAGTTTAATAATATAGGATAGGTAAACATATGGCAATGGGGACGTTGAATATAAGCAGCATACTTAAAAATGTAAAACACATCATGAGAACGATTTTATAGAACATTATTCAGAATAATTACTCTCGGGGGGAAATGAAGTTAAAAGAAAGGCAATGACGTTGAACGGCTGAGAGGTAATAAGCAGGAATTTTGTTATAATAACGCAGACAATGGAACGAGCAAATTTTTTGCACTTAACAACCATAATAACAACAGCAACACACACCCGCCCGGCCCCCTTTTAACCCTGTATGTATGTATGTTTGCTGCTTATTGCGCTTGCACAAAAACCACCCTAAAGTTCTGTTCGGGAATTCCTTTACTTTACTTACTTTATCAAACACATTCAGTTTGTCTTGTTCTGCAGGAAAAGTTCTCAAAGCCTTCATCATGGACAATGAAGGAAGAACGCTGGCACATTCCCAAGGCATCAATGATATACCTAACAGTAATAAATTGACACTTCTGTGTGCTCTGCGGTCAAACTACGGCCTTATGGTCAGGATGACTCTGCTTGCTGATACCTACAGGTGCCTGATGTATTCCAAACGAGGGACAATCGTGGGCACCAGTGATACTTCTGTTTTCGTGGCTCAGAAGGGAAAGGAAAGTACCATAGTGGCATTTGCCGACGCTGCAGGTCCAGGTTCATGCATTAAAGAAGTGGAAGAATTATCAAGAGTTCTTGCACACAGGGGCCTTTGAGAGAATAGATGTTTGTATTTACAATCATGATAAAATAAATGGAAATATTATGGCTTAAATAAACAAAATAAAAGAATCTGTGTTCCTTGGCCGAAAGTTTCGAGTTCCCTTCATGTGCTGACCTCGTTGTCGTGAGACAGTGTTCGATTTTCAGTTACTCATCACAATGTCAATGTTAATTCACTTTTCTACCATTCTGTTAACATCGATACGTGCATTAGAGTTTGAATTTACAAATTATTTGAAAGTTATGAATTATCTTCATTGTGAACAATTTGAAATGGGCGAGATTTTGTAAATCTCACTCAATGCTCGGTTTTCCGAGATTGATCCTTTTGACAGTGTTCTACCTTTCATTGTTTCGTTCATTTCAGCATTATTGGTGTTTTTCACTTGTCATAGTAGACTTATCGCATTACCTGTTGTCAGCGTCATCAACCTCAGCTTTAAAAAAGTACCGTATCACCTTTTGAGGGATGACCTCACTCAAAATAATTATTGTATCCCCCGCTAAAACGGTATCTTCATCTGGCGGTTGAGACATATTGAACCATAAGATTGGCTTCAATTCCGGCTTGGCTGGATGAAGCACATTTCCCCCTCCCCCCAGAGCATCCACTGCCGAATAAGCTCTTCTTGATAAGGAAGACACGGAAATAAAAAGAATGCATGAGGAAACAGCTGCACTTAAATGTTTTCATGATGTCCGTCCACTGTTCTATTTTTTCCGTTGTACTGCAAGATTCTTAAAATAAACATAAAGAATGAATGGCAGTAATTCTTATAATATGAACTCGTGCAACTTATAGCTCAGCACTGTAGCATCTCAGATCACGCCCCCCACCCAAAGAGAGTGTATAGAGAATGTAACACTCCTTTCTGTATTCTAAAGGGTAATACACCCCCCTCAAACACACACTCACTCCCCTTTCCAGCACAGCCTTATAAAAGTAGGAAACTTTCACACCGAAACCTATTTTCGGGAAAAACTAGGAAGGTGCGCATGGTGAACTACAAATCCCAGAAACATTTTCACGTACTGTGTGGTCTGTCGCCATTGACTGGAACTTGGAAAAGTTCGCAGAAAGACCAGATTTTGATTTATTTTTGAGTGGTGTCTGCGTTTATCCATCCGAGATCCTTAAATGCGCTGACTGGAAAAACAGGGCTCAAGCGGCCTCCGTAAGTTTTGGTGGTGCTGAACTGGCAGGGAATATCTTCCCCTTCTTTATCTTCCCCTTCTCTTGTGCAGTTTAGTTTAGTACACATGTACTGTATAGTAATACGATCACTGAGTATTGTAGAGACCCTACAGTGGTGTGACTTTGCATGGTGATTTTCCTACCATAATAGCAACTACATGGAAGAAGTAAATAATGTGAGAAAGCTAGATATTGAAAGATACAGAGAGGGGAAGAGAAAGATAAAGAGAGTAAGAAAGAGAGACAATGGCAATTAGAGGGAAAAAAAGAAAAAAAGAGAGGTGAGAGAGACGGGGATGGAGGGAGAGAGAGAGAGAGAGAGAGAGAGAGAGAGAGAGAGAGAGAGAGAGAGAGAGCGAGCGAGGAGAGAGAGAGAGAGAGAGAGAGGGGAGAGAGAGAGAGAGAGAGAGAGAGAGAGAGAGAGAGAGAGAGAGAGAGAGAGAGAGAGAGAGAGAGAGAGAGAGAGAGAGGAGGGAAAGGGATGTCATATGATTTTATGAGTTGAAGTTTTCTGTATCGATATTTTCGCAAAAAAATTTGCTCTATTGTGTTAGGAGGGGTAACAATCATATCCAATTCCTTCTAAAAGTACGATAAAAAATACTACTGTACAAAATGACAAATTTTTATCTGCTCAGTACCTAGTTATGAGAAATGTAACGCAAACAAATGTGACTTTCACAGCATGTCAAGCTTTTCTTGATGCAATACTTTGGATAGAGCAGAAAGAACAAGATTTGATTTCTGACCTCTTGGTCTTAGTAGCTCAAAACGTCCAAAAGTGTCAGATAGAACTTTGTAATCCTGAGATAGCGCAGTCTCTATCTTTTCAACAACATTTTTAGCTTTGTTTCCTCTAAAACCGCTGGGGAAACCAGAGAGCTGCTCGGCCTTTCCATCTGGCACACAACAGTCTACCCCAAACCATCTTCACTCTCGAACCACAACACCGTCTAAGGAAATAGGCAGACACCTCACTGACCACTGTGCGATGATTCCAAGGAATACTTTAACAAAACTCACCTATGTCGACACAGCAAGCTCAAACCTCATTGACGTATCCAACTCAGCTGTAGGTGAGTCAACAATTCTGAAATCAAAACGAACTACGATGTTCCCTTTTCATTTTGATCCAATATTATATTTTTTTCTGGTTTTGTTTGTTTATCTATTTTTTGGAGGGGTTTTTGGTCTAATGTTGGTGTATTTTTACGTCCACATTGACTGATAACTTAAATTATTTAGGAGGCGGGCTTCGACCCTGTCTGTCAGTGCCAACTCGGACTGAAAGAGATTTAACATCCCAGCAGAAAAACCGAAATACTCGATACCCCCCCCCCCCCAACCCACACACACTCGGGAATCGAACTCGAGTCTCTTGCGTGCAACCACGAATCATCTATCCACTACACCACATATGCCCATTAGATTCAGTAAGATACCAAGCTGGTTGAAGGATTTTCAGGGAAAGGGTGAAAGAAAGAGAATGGTATGAAGGGGATGGGGAAAGCGGGGATGGGGAGGAGGTGTTAATTGCAAAAAATTAATGGGGGGTTTTCTCCCCCGTTGACACAATTTGTGTAATTAAGGAGGCAGGTTTCTTCGAGCTGTCTTTCAGGGGCAACCAAAAAATGGAATCGAGACTCAATTCATCTGGGGGAGAGAGAGAGAGAGAGAGAGAGAGAGAGAGAGAGAGAGAGAGAGAGATCAGTCATATGTTTGTAATTTTTGTCGGTAGATGTTCAGCGGACATAATATTTTCTTCAGCTCAACTTTTTTCCTATTAAACCAGATCTACGGTTACTTCTTCTTGTAGGCCTACTATATACTAAAAGGTCAACATTAATATTTAGAAAGCTTTGACCGTATATTGAAAATTGGGTTCGTTAATTTTAACCCATACTCATAACAGCCTCCAAAAATGCCTTCCAAACGGAGATTTGTGATCATTTAAGCAAAGTTTTAAGTGACATGGTTCGCGTATATTACATGCCGAGCAGCTTACCTGAACCAATGATAGTACATAACAAGATGGTTCACTCAGCCAAAAAAGGGTCCGCAGGAAGTATGCTCTTTGCTTCAGATGGCGCTGCAGTCTGTTTTGAAGCTCTCTTTCGTTTTTCCAGAAGAAGAATAGGAATAGCACCTCCTTGCGTGCGCAGATCGACTGCTGTTCATCAGCAGTTCGAGTTCGTTCAGTGCAGAGTTTTAGGTTATTTATACTTTAATGACCTCTCGCCTTTCATTCTAAAGTCAAATTAAACGAAGAAAACAATCACCCTTTCCTCCGGAAGAGGTTTTTTGTCAGCGTAACCATTTTTAAAAAGCGTTCTTCCGAAATTTATCCCAAAACTTGCTAGTTTCACTTTGATTTTTAAAAACTCAAGTAGGGTAACTCTGTTCGCAAAGAGTGCGCTTTTGTGAAGAGGGCGCCACCAAATTTTGAGGACACTTTTTTAATTGGCTCAAAGAGAGAAGTGGCCCATCTTGTTATGTACTATCATTGCCTGAACACGCGAATTTAAAAGATAATATCATATTCGACTACATTCATCCAGGACCCTTTAGTAGCTCAATTTCAGAGTTGACTCTCGCACTCAACTTTACACGAGCTCCGGTATTCCCTGTTGCCATGATCACTATGTATGAATAATGGAAAGCAAGCAAGACAACAAACATAACGTTCAATTACGTGCGTCCTGGTGGGATTAGAACTGAAGACTTCGACCACATAGTCCAGCACGATTCTAAATGAGAGATGAATAGGTAATCGTTACAAGGAGATTTCGATGAAATACCATATTATCTAGAAAGGGTGTAAAATGCTCCACCTGCAGCCTGTACGTAAAATTCTCTATCTGAGGCCTGAGGTTATTACCACCCACCTTCTTTTTCTGCTCTGTCCAGGTACTCGCAGGGCGTGTAAGCCACAAAGCTTCACTCTCAGACGGAAATTTAGAGCACAGCATGGAACAGAGTCTGATCAGGAACGTGGTATGTTCAGAAGTCTTTTTCCTAACCCAATCTCCGCCATTTCCATTCTTTTTACTCCATCCTAACACGTACACACACACACACACACACACACACACACACACACACACACACACACACACACACACGTGCACACACACATGCACACACAGAAAGCTTTCTTGGAAAAGGCAGCTTATTCTGTTGCTGAGGGAGGTCAATTCATGAACTTACTTAAGACTAATATCAACCAGTCTTCCATTTAAATGACATGTATATTCCAATTACATCTTTGGTGCAATGGTTAACCGCTTCGCCGTTACACGCAAGGGCAGTGCATTGTGAGAAGTTTGTTTTAGCGAGTTGTTCATCTCTCTCTCTCTCCCCCCCCCTCTCTCTCTCTCTCTCTCTCTCTCTCTCTCTCTCTCTCTCTCTCTCTCTCTATCTATCTATCTATCTATCTATCTATCTATCTGCTACGTCTTTTAATCAGTGTTGCAATTGTCTTGATTAGCTCCAAATACATGTAGAAGTATCTTGACTTGAACCAACCGATTTCTAATAATAATTACGCAATAATCGACTACTACTACTACTACTATTATTATTATTATTACTACTACTACTACTACTACTACTACTACTACTACTACTACTACTACTACTAATAATAATAATAATAATAATAATAATAAGCATTTGCACAGTGCAAAAATTTCCCCTTGACAGTGAGCTCTATGCGCTTTACAGTCTAGACATCTAGATTTATATATCATTTTATAACTTAAAGACCATTACTGCCCCCAACGACAGTCAGTATTCTACCAGCACGATTGTTATCGAAAGCAGGGACACTAATAGTAATAGATAGAATCTAGATTGTTTGCTTGAACGCCTCTCATTTTTACTCCACCACATCCCCACCCCCTACTCGACCCTCACCCCACCCCCTTCTCTTTCCGTCCTCAGATCCGCAAACAATGCCTCAGCGCTTCAACAGACCTAACACAAAACCCAGAGAACAGTCACAGTTGGCACAAGGAGCACCACAGAAGGAGCACTTCGGTTAGTTTTAAGGCTAGTTTGTTTGTTTGCTTGTGGGTTGTTGTTTGTTTTGTTTTGTTGTTGCGGGTTTTGCTGGTTTAACGCCCTTGTCAACGTCGTTTTAGGTCAGTTAAGAGGAGAGACCTACGAATTTAACATCTTCTCTGCAATAGAATAAGACAGGAGGGTGGAGACACTTGAAAACTGAACAAACAACCCCCCCCCCTCCAAAAAAAACAACACACCCCACCCTTCTGGAGGTTCGAACTAGGACCATCCCCTTGAGACCAGTGTGATAAAAAAACTGAGATTGAGATATCGGCGTTCCCTTGACATACTTCGAGGGAGGAGGGAGGGGGATGTTTAGCTCTTTAATTTGAACGAGAAACAAATATTTGCTAGTTTTTCTT